TGGATGTACTTGCCTGCGTGGATGTACTTGCCTGCGTGGATGTACTTGCCTGCGTGGATGTACTTGCCTGCGTGGATGAGTTTGCCTGCGTGGATGTGTTTGCCTGTGTGGATGTGTTTGCCTGCGTGGATGTGTTTGCCTGCGTGGATGTGTTTGCCTGTGTGGATGTGTTTGCCTGCGTGGATGTGTTTGCCTGTGTGGATGGGTTTGCTTGGCTCCCTCCCGTCACTCCTTCCTCCCTTTCCTCGTCCTCTAGTTTCTCCCCTTTCTCATTCGCTCTTGTATTGTATCTTGCATGGAGAATATATTGCTTTTCGCTCACTCAGTATCTCTAAATTTGTGTGCACATTGGTGCATGTGTGCATGTGCTGTATGCATGTGTGTATGTGTGTTTGTGTGTGTGTGTATGACTGCTCACCCACATGCTGGCATGGATTCAGGCGATGGAGAATGCCATTCCTGACGAAAGCTGTGCCAATTACGAGGTGAGAGCTGTGACTGTAAGCGAGGTGAGAAATGTGACTGTAGTGAGTCAATTCTGCTTCTCCAACAGCCTGTGTGTGTGTAAAGACGCGCATGTCCCTGCCCTGCCCCTTAGCGCTGCAGCACACTCTCCTGCCCTCGCACGCATCTCATGAGCTCTCATTCTCCTGCCCTCCCATTGGCTGCTGCACTGGCAGGCACGCAACAAGGAGTGCTCACGCATCAACACATGCTTTGACTGCTCGCCCGAAGGCGCATGCCATGCCGTCAAGGTGAGGGCTCGTCTTTGCTTTTGAAGCGCCTCAAAAGCACACACCGTGGAGCGGCACATGGCATGGCATAAAGGTGGGGAGGCACATGGCATGGCATAAAGGTGGGGAGGCACATGGCATGGCATAAAGGTGGGGAGGCACATGGCATGGCATAAAGGTGGGGAGGCACATGGCATGGCATAAAGGTGGGGAGGCACATGGCATGGCATAAAGGTGGGGAGGCACATGGCATGGCATCACGTGTGGTAAGGAAGCCCTCTGTCCTTGTGCCGTGCCGATACATGAAACATACTCATGCATGTCTCCCCTCTTTCCCCATGCCGGTCACGCCATGCAGAAGTACCCGCGGGTGTATGTGGAGGAGCATGGCACCGTGCAGGGCGAAGCAGACATGATGGCCGAGGTGAGAGGAGGTCAAGAGGGGGGTGAGGTGAGAGGGGGGTGAGGTGAGAGGGGGGTGAGGCGAGAGGGTGAAGGTGAGGATGGTAAACTGGCTTCTTTGATACGCTTCTCCATATGCATTCTCGTATGCGCCATGTCTTCGCTTACCTCCCCTCCACTCCCCTCCACGCCTATCCACTCCCCTCCACTCCACGCTTATCCACTCCCCTCCCATTCTCCCCCTGGCCCGCCCATGCCCTGTTCACCCCTCACCCTGCTTGCCCCTCACCCCCCGCCCCTGCCCTGCGGCCCCGCATGTCACTCACCACAGATCGCGGCACGTGGCCCCATTGCATGCGGCATAGCTGTGAACGACGACTTTTACAAGAACTACAAGTGAGTGCGTGCGGGGCAGAGGAGAGGAGAGGCACCAAGTGAGTGTGTGGTGGTGTGGTTTGAGTTGACTCAATACACGCCCCATTGCGTGCGGCGTTGCTGTGAACAACGACAATGACAAGAACTACAAGTGAGTGTGTGCGGTGGGCAGGAGAGGTACTAAGAGAGTGTGCGGTGGGAGAGGCAATTACCACGAAGGGGACTCTGGGTGGGCTTCTCTTCCTGCTAGTGCCACTTTGCCTTGCCCGCAACGCTCCCTGCGCCGCACCCAGATCCTTCCCTCTTGCTCTGTTCCTCCTAGGGGCGGACTTTACGATCACTCACACCACGGGCTTCCTTGACGTGGACCATGTTAGTACAGTGGGGAGTTGGGGGATTTCAGCTGCTGCCATCCTCCCTTGCCCTCTCTGTCTTACCCCCAGGGGCGGCATTTACGATCACACTACGCGCTTCCTTGACGTGGACCATGTGATTACTGCGGGGGAATGGGGCATTTCAGCTGCTGCCGTCCCCATTCCTCACTGCTAATGCCGTCTGCCCTCACACCATGGGCTTTCTTGATACGGACCATGTGGTGACTGCGGGTTTAGGGTTGGGGTACCATTCCTGATGCCACTCCCCCTTGCCTGCTGCTAATACCACTTCTTCCCCCCCTTGCCGCCCTCCTTCCTTGCCTGTTCTGTCCCCCCCAGGGGCGGCATTTACAACGACACCACGGGTTTCCTTGACGTGGACCATGTCATCACTGTTGGGGGGTGGGGTACCTCCCCTGAGGGGGTTAAGTATTGGATCGCCCGCAACTCGTGGGGCACGTACTGGTGAGAATGCGAGGGGGAGTGGGAGTGGGAGTTGGGCGAGAGAGTTTGGCCATGTTGGTTAGGGGTCAGATTATCATGGTCAGTGCCAGCACTGGCTGCGAGTTGCAATTCTGGGGTATGTGGTGCAATGCTGCATGCATCATGTGCCGCAATGCTGCACGCAATAAGCTGACTAACCACTGTGCTTGTGTGCAGGGGGGAGAATGGTTGGTTCCGCATCGTGCGAGGCACCAACAACCTCGCCATTGAGAGCGGATGTGACTGGGCAGTTCCCAAGGTCGTGTGGGAATGAAGGTTGTTGCACGTGCATCTATGAATGTCCACCGAGGCTGAAGCGTGTTCAATGAGTAGATATGTTGTGTACATTATGGGTTAATCTGCTACGTTTAATTTGGTGTCAGTCCGACAGGGTACACTACACTCCTTGCATGATGCTTTTAAAATACTCTTAGCGATAGTACCACATAACACCACGACGGGACAAGAAGCCTCTTACTCCCGCCATAAGAGAAACTGCAGGCCTATCCATCCATGGTGGAAACGACACCAAGAGCCACCCAACTGTTCCTACAGCAAGTCAAGACTTCAAACGACGGGATTGCGTGGGATCAGGTCGGTCGGGTGGGAGGAATATGAACAGTGTCCGCCAGTCAAGTTTCTCTCCCTTGCACCAGAGCCAACCTGCTGTCCTTGTCTCTAGTGACTGAGCAATGAGCTGCTCAGTTGCCCAGACCAGCTTGTCTTGCAGAGCCCAAGCCTTCCGAGCCTCGGCGAACGTGTACGGACCAAGGCTTGTCCCTTCCACAACCAACGCCGCACCTTATTCAATCCCCCATCGCGCATACGGACTCAGCCCCCCCGCGAGCTGAAATAATCCAGGGCAGTTTCGTAGTTTGTGAGTCAACAGGGATGCCTGAAGGCGCAGGGGCGTACGGGGGTGTGCGGCTGTTTGCAAAAGCTCGAGGCGTGGTCGGGAAGGAGGTACGGTGGACGTATTCTTGAGCTTCGCTTCGGGGAGGGGCGGGCCTGATGGTTTGGTGCGAGGCTCGAGGGCTTTGGCAGGGTCTTTGAAAACAAAATGTTTGAAACGGCTGCACTTTTCTGGTCCGTGGGGTCGCTTTGTAATTTTCTGGTGGCTTTAAAAAACGCGGGCATCGTGTACAGAAACCGAGGCGAGATCAGCTTGGGTAAATTCACATGGTTTTGTACAGTGACAGCGACGATCAGTTTGATGCTCTTTTTGGTCTTTCTTTGCAATTGGCAATCTCCATGAGTACCACACTCTTCACGGCAAGGTTCCCAGGTTGCGCCTTGTAAAGTCGAAGTTATGAATACATTGTACACTCTACTGCTAGCCACTGAAACCAAGCTTCACAATGTGTCGCTTAGCAAGAGCGCGAAAATTACTTGCGATATGTTCGTTGTGAACCCAGCCATACATGCTAAGACTGTTCTTCAATGTTGTACCCTACTGCTTCAAGGAAACAGGGGCGTCTATCACGCAACATACAGAGGTGGTTTGAGATGTGCTACATTTTTCCTCCAAACGAACCCTTTCCGATTTTGGAACGACTGCCAAGCGTCATTTCTGTGTCACCTGTACTTCTTACAAGGACATTGTGCCACTTGATCTCATACTGCACAATACCGCAGTACCGTATTGACTTCGACTTGTACCTCTGTACACTTGCGCAATGAGGAGAGACTGCGATGAGTCCTTGCAAACGGTACTTCCATGCCTTGGGAACTCCTAAAACAGCCCAACCGATCCGAAGCAGCCTGGAACGAAGTGAACCCAACGAAACCACACCCTGCAAATCAAGGCACTACAGTGAATGCCATAAATTCATATTCCTCACTGTGCATTCTCGTCTAGGGTTTCGACAACGACAATGGCTGCAATCCTATCCCAACGGACCTGCCAAGGTGAACGTTTGCCTGAAGGAGAACGTTCTTCATCTTCAATGGACAATCCATAAAATTATTGCCTTCCTAAAATCGGTCTTTATTGACTTCATTGGAATGCGTTCTAACTTTTATAGGAGTAGTTTCACTGGCCGATGCGGTAGGCCTTATGAAGCAGGCAGAGTCTAATCTGCCTAAACCGCCGGAGAATATGGCGACCTTCGAAGCAGCGTGGAGACCGCAGGATCCCGGCTCTTCCGCCGGGTCGTCTCATTTTTCTTTTCAGGACACTCGATTCGAGCCGCGTTACCAGGTCTCCGGGTCTAACTTTATAGAAGACACGTTTGTTCCTCTTCCTGACGACGAGGATGTCCCTTTCAGTACTGGAGCTATCCGCAGTTCCCGCGGGGACTCTAAGCCGCGGCCCGGAAGCCGGTCCTTCGGAACGAAGGACCGTCGCGATCTGTACTCACCCCCGCGGAGCGATTCCCCTTCCAGTCAGAAACCCGTTAGTAGCCGCTCCGGTACTGGCCGTAGCCTCGCCAAGACCTTTTCCTTGCGCATTCCTGAGAACTTTGAAGACTCGTCGTCTCCTCAGAGCCGTAGATCGCTCTCCCCTCGGCAAGCCAACGCCCACGCTCGCGCTTACTCTCAATCTCACTCTCATTCTCACACTCCCGCGGCGCACAGCAGCAGCTTATTATCCGGCATGCTCAGTCCGCGCCCGGGTCGAGCGCCGCGCGCGATGCGCAAGGGCCGCTCCGCGACGTCGATGGTTCTGGATCAAGCCGTTGACGAGGCAGCTCTTATGGAGGACGAGGCGGCGAACGACGGCGTCGCCGGGTGGGACGAGGACGGCGCAGCGGCGGCGCGACGCGTCCACGCGAAAGCGCTCGCCGCGATCGCGACGCCGCGGGGACGCGGGCCGAAGAACAATGACTGGAGTAACGCGCGCAAGGCTTCCGAGTGGGGTGCCGCTTCCGCCGCCGCTGGTTCGCTTTCTAGTTCGAGTTCGGGCTCGCGCACGGGCTCTATGGCTGCTGCGGCTGCAGCGGCGGTGCATGTTTCGCCCGAACGGGGTGGTAACAGCCGGTGGCATTCGCGAGCGCGAAGCTCGTCGCAGGTGGACGCTGAGCGAATCTCGTCGCCGTGGGGAAGCGGGACCGGGCGAACGGCTGGCGGAGGCGCGGAGGGGGGAAGCTCGGGCGGAGAAAGCGCGTTTGCGGGAGCCAGACGGGGGAGAGTGGGCGGAGGAGGCGGAGGGGCGGGTTCCGCGGTGGGTAAGCCGGCAGGTGCGTTCGAAGCACGTGTCGCGCCGGCGATGGCGGAGAGGCCTCCCGTACCCGAAGGCTTGCAGGATCTCTCCGTGTTTTACGGCGCTTCGAGGGAGGAGGTCGCGAGCAGCGGCAGCGTGATATTTAATCCGACAGGCGGCGCAGTTAGCGACCATGACTCGGATTTAGCGCTCCTGATCAACTCGCCTGCTTCCGTTGTCCCTGCTGCCGCTGCTGCTACTGGCGCGGCGGAAGCGGCACCACCGTCGCCGCGAGGTCTTCATATTTCGCCGAAGGCCACGTGGACCAATCAGAAGCCAGCAACGTTGGGAAGAGTGGCAGGTGGCGGCGGGAGGGTTCACGCGGCAGCGGCCGCGACAGGAGCACCGGGAGTAGGCGCATCTGGGGTAGGCGCATCCGGGGCAGGTGCATTTGGCGCAGGCCCGAGCGCCATCTCGCCCATGGCGGCAGCCGCCATTCGTGGCGGCGGATTAGCAGCGATGTCGCCGCGCCTTCTGAAATTTCTTGTCGAGGACAAGCCGGGCGCTCCGGAACGGGGCGCGGGGAGAGGGGGGGAGGGGAAGCGGGGCGGAGACAGGCGTGTGCGCCAGAGCGGAAGCGGGGACGAGACCGCGGAGGGGAGGGGGGGCGCAGGGGGAGACGAGCAGGGAAGGGTATCGTTGCGGTCGCGCAGCGGGCCGCTCTCCGCAAGAGCCAGATCGCGCGTCGCTGCGACTATGGGCGGCGCCTTCCGGGTGCCCGGGCCGTTACACTCCCCGCTCTCCAGCTCGCCCGCGTCGTCCGATTCGTTATTGTCGTCCCCGCTAGCCCTCCCCGCGCCGTCCCCGTTAGCGCCGTCCTCGAGTTTCGGTAGAAGCGCCGGAGGCGCAGCAGCGGGTGCCGCTCACGGGAGAAGCGGCGCCGGCAGTGCGTCAGTTCCTTCCCCTACACGCACCTCCCCCACAATCACATCACCCACCAAGCCAACCTCCCCGCTAGGCCCCGCCTCTGCCGCCGCTACCTCGGGGCCGTCCGCGTCAGCTGCGGCGCCATTGGCGGCGGCGGCGGGGTGGCAAGCTTTCCGGCGGCCCGCCGCTTTGGATCTTGGACGGCTCCTCGCTCCCGGCGCTCCAGGCGGGGAGGAATCCGACGGCGAGGATGAGTTCAGTGATGACGACGCTGACGTCAGCGAGGCTGTGGCTGTAACGGGTCCAGCCGAGCCGACAGGTTCGGGGAGAGCTGCGGGGGCAGGCTCGGGAACAGCCTCCGATCGCAGGGAGCGGCTGGAGGGGGTTGAGGTGAGGCTGGAGCGGAGGTCCACGGGGAACGCGCAGCACGCGGAGAGGGGAAGGCCGGACGGGAACCTGGGGAACGCGGAGCGCCCGCGCAGCAGCCCTGTAGGCCTCGACTCGGCGCTTAGCTTCGACCGCCGAACCAGCCCTGTAGGTTCGGGTGCTGTAGATAAGTCCGGGTTGGGAGGCGGCGGCGGAGGCGGAGGAGGAGGAGGCGGTGGGGGAGGCGGGGGGAGAGCGGGCGCGGGTAGGGCGCAGAGCACGAAGAGCCCAGCGCGGGCAGCGAGGGTTGGGGATCCGAGTGTTTTATCTGCTGCTGCTGCTGCTGCTGCCGGGGACGCGTATAACGCGAACGCGCGAGTCCTCCCTCCGTCGTTGTCGTTTTCCGGGAGTGACTTAGCGATTAACCCCATCGACCGCCGAACTTCTGCCAATGAGTATATCGACTTTCCCCCGGCCGGATCCCCCGCCGATTACTCCCCCGACGTTAACATCTCCCCCACGCAGCAGGCGCAGCAGCAGCAGAGGGCAAACAGTGCCAAGCTTGGCAGGCAGGCAAGCGGGCAGGCCGGTATGGGCGGCCGTACGGGTAAACCTGGGAGCAGCGGAAACAGCCCCGTGGGTTCGGCTGCGCCGGCAGGTTCGGGGACAGGTTCGGTAGGTTTCGGGGCGGGCACAGGCACAGGCACAAGTGCGGGCATGGGAATGCAAAAGAGTGCGACCCTGGACTCAGGCATGGGCGGAACCCACGGGGACTCAATGAAAGCCTCTCATTCTGACGATGACGCTGACGATAACGATAACGAGGATGATGATGATGATGACGACGACGCTATCTTGCTGCTGCCAGAAAACGTTTCGAGCCCCGACGCTGCGGGACCCAGCTCGGCGCGCAGCAAGCCAAAAGCTGCGCCGGCGCCTGCGTTACCGTTAGCGTCAGCGTCAACGTTTACGTCGTCAACGGCAGCGTTAGCGTCAGCGCCCGGACAGGGCGGGAAGGGGGCGTTTTCTGAGCGCGTGCGCGGGTTTGCGTCGCCCAGGCGCGTGGAGAGACCCCCCGACCCCATGGACCGCCTCCGCGGATTCGTCTCCCCGCGCTCGCGCATCCGGGAAGGACCGGGCGGGGGGCAGAGCGAGGGAAGCGCATGGGGCGGGGATGCTGGTCGCGCCAGTGGCGGTGGGGGTCGGGGGGGAGGGGGCGGAAGGGTTGGCGCAGCGGCAGCGGAGGAGAGTCAACAGGGGGGATCGATTTGGCAGCAGTATCAACGGCCGCAGGGCCAGCAGCAGCAGCTGCCGCAGCAGACACAGCAGCAGACGCAGCAGCAGCAGCAGCAGCAGATGCAAGCGGAAAAGGACAGCAAAGGTAATCGTAGGCGGCCGAATCTGCGGCCGTTACAGCTGGACGCGCTGGTTACCACCCCCAGAGGCCGCACGCGCTCGCACCTCCCCGCTGGGGGACCTCTTTCCGCGCGCGCTGCTGGCCCAGGCCCGAGCAGCAGCGGGTTCCGCCAAAGGGGCGCGGGCGGGGGCAGAGTGGGAGGCGCGGGGTGGGATGGGGACGCGCCAATGGCGACGCCTGGGGGAGCGGGGGAGGGGCAGGGGGGGCGGGGGCATATGGCGATGGCTATGCCTCCGCTCTGGCACAGAAGTCCGCGGGCAGGGGGGAGCGGGTTGAATCTAGGCGCAATTACCCCCACTGCTGCTTCCGCCTCTTCCGCCGCGGGCGCAAGCGGGGGAAGAGGCGGGCCGTCCGCTGCTGCTGGTCCCGTGGGAGGGGGGGAGAGGGCGGGGGGCGCGGGAATGGGGGAGAACAGCAGCAGCCCCAAGTACTACGTTGCGCTCAAGAGCCCCCGCGCCCCCGCGGATGCGCCCAGGCGCGCCAATAAGAGCCCCAAGACGCCCCGCGGGGAGGTGCTATCTGGGAAAGGCGCGGGCGAGGGGGGCATGGGCGGAAACGCCACTGCCGGTTCTGGGTGGGGAGGCGGGGCAGGCGGAGGGGCAGGCGGAGGCGGAGGCGGAGGCGGAGGGGGGGGGGGGGAGGGGGAGGGCAGGGGGAGGGCGGCAAGAGGCGGGGGCTGGCGTCATGGGGAGGCGGGGGAACGCTGGGCGCAGCAGTGGACACTTTCAGCCGCAGCCTGAGCGCCCACCCCGTCAGCCCTAGGGCGGGCCCACCTGGGGGTGGCGCAGGGGGAGGCGCAGGGGGAGGCGCAGGAGGAGGCGCAGGAGGAGGCGCAGGGGGAGTGGGGATGACAGCGGAAGCTGCAGCGGCGTTTGACGCGCATGCTAGAAGAGCCATGGCTGCCCCCCCCAACCCCTCCTATCATGCACTCCCTACCCCCTCCCTCCGCCCCTCGCCCACGGCTGCTGCTGCCGCCGCCGCTGCTGCTGCTGTCGCTGCTGCTGCTGGCGGCGGGAGCAGCGGCGGGGGGAGCAGCAGTAGCGTGCGCGGGGGTGGGAGCAGCAGCGCTGGTGGTGGTGCTGACATGGGCGCACGAGCGGGGGCGGGGGGTCCAGGGGTCGCAGGAAGGGGCGCAGGAGGGGGTATGGGCATGGGCATGGGGATGGGCATGGGTGTGTTTCAACAGGGATTCTCTGATGTGACGCGACGGTATGAGATGGGGCGGAAGGTGGGGCAGGGGCGGAAGGGTGTGACTGTATACCAGTGCGTGGAGAGGCGCACAGGCAGGCAGTACGCGTGTAAGACTATAGACAAGGTGACTCTAACGGGGGGCAGGAAGGAGGAGGCGGTTCGCACGGAGGTGGCGATTATGAGGAAGCTGCAGGGCCATCCGCACATAGTGGAGATTAAAGACACGGCTGAAGATGCTAAGGTGGGTCTGTTTGTCCACCTCCCCCATCAACATGCACCTGTGAATCCCCCAGCGCGAGAGACGCTTTCAACCCTCTCCGCTTCCCCTCCCTCCCCTCTCTCCCTCTTCCCCGCTTCTCTCTCTCCCCCGCCCCCCCCAAAAAAACCCTCCCCCTTTCAGTTCGTGCACATAATCATGGAGATGTGTTCAGGCGGCGACCTGCTGGACCACATCAACACGCAGCTGTGCATCTCCGAGAGGGAGGCCGCCACCATCGTGCGCGTGCTCGTGCAGACCATCCACTTCTGCCACGTCAGCGGCATCATGCACCGCGACCTCAAGCCCGAGAACGTGCTGCTCGGCTCGCCCGGCCAGTGGTGGGACCTGCGGGTGGCGGACTTTGGCTTTTCTGTGCCGCTCAGAGCAGGTGAGGGGCGGAGGAGTTCACACCAGTGAGTAGGCGCTTTTGCGAGCAGGTGAAAGAAGAAGAGAGGCCACAGGGAACGGGCCAGGGCAAGCGAGGGGTGAGCAGGGCATAGGGTGAACGGGGATAGAGCACATGTGCCGGGGGCGGGAATGCACGGGGCAGGGGCGCAAGGTGTAGAGTGGCTGGGGCATCATGCACCATGACCTCAAGCCTGAGAACGTGCTGCTGGGCTCGCCCGGTCAGTGGTGGGACCTCCGGGTAACTGATTTTGGCTTTTCTGTACCGCTGAGAGCAGGTGAGGGAGAAGCGTGGCAGGGAACAGGGTGCACTGGATAGGGCAGGTTAGGGCTGAGCAGGGCAGAAGTTGCAGCGGGGGTAGGGCACACATGCACAGGGCAGGGTGGCACGGGGCAGGGCACAGGGTGGCACGGGGCATGATGCACCACGACCTCAAGCCTGGGAACGTGCTGCTGGGCTCGGCTGGCCAAAGGTGATGAGTGGGCTGTACGTGTTCTTGTGAGGCGCCTCAAGGATTGACGCGCACCCTCCACCTTCACTCTCAACATCAACCCCACCCCCAACCGCACCCCTCTACAGGCCAGCGCATGAAGGGGTATGCAGGCTCGCCTTTCTACATGGCGTCGGAGGTGCTGGACGGGCTGTACCGCCACCACTGAGGCACACATCTGGAGCCTCAAGGAAACTCTCTCTCTCCCACTTGACACCTTCTCCCAACCCCACAGGCCAGCGCATGAAGGGATACGCAGGGTCGCCCTTCTACATGGCGCCGGAGGTGCTGGACGGGTTGAACGGGCGGGCACCAGTGAGGCGGACATCTGGAGCCTCAATATTAGTCTCCCACCCTCCACCTTCCCCCACCCCACACAGGCCAGCGCATGAAGGGATACGCAGGCTCACCCTTCTACATGGCGCCCGAGGTCCTAGACGGGCTGTACGGGCAGGAGGCAGACATCTGGAGCCTGGGAGTCATCCTCTACACGCTGCTTTCCCAGAAGCTTCCCTTCTGGGACGACACGGACGCGGGCGTGTACGAGCTGATCCGGCGCTGCGAGGTGGACACGAGCTCGGGCGTGTGGCCGCTGGTGTCGGGGGCGGCAAAAGACCTCGTGCACCGCATGCTGGCCTTCGACCCCAACCACCGCCTGCCTCTGCACCTCATTCTCGGTACGGGAGTCCCCTTGCACTTTGCTGCACCTCCTTTTAGTTACGCGCTATGCTGCATCTGCTTCTAACGTATCCCTTGTAGCCGTTTCCCTCAACCCATTCCCATCCTCCCACTCCTTGTTTCCCTCGACATGGGTGGTAACAAACACGAGTCGACATCGCCCGCGTGCCATTCAGCGAGTCACCTTCTCAGGCACCTCAAAGAATTTTCCCTATCCCCGTCTCCCCAACCCCCCCCCACCCCCCGAAACACACCATCTCAGACCATCCATGGGTGGTCACCAACACAACAGTTGACATCCCCCGCGTGCCATCCAGCGCGTCAGTTTCCTCCGAAACTTCCTCTCTCGAGCCGCACTCGTCCGGGCGGCAAAAGAAGGATATTGCTCGATCTGCTGGGACGATCTTTTCGTCCCGCGCCCAGCCGCAAGCTATGCGGGCTGCTGCCGCCGCCGCCGCCGCTGCTGCCGCTGGTGGTGGTGGGGGGAGTGATGGTGATGATGATGAGGAGGAGAGTGGGGGTGGCAAGGGGGAGTGAGGAGGGAAGAGTACTGGGGACTAGAAGGTTAGTGGGGACTGGTAGAACGCTTTGGCTGACTGTAAGGGGGGCTGTGTTGCGGAGAGCAAGCACACACGGACCTCGACCAAAAAGGCGTCACTGTGCAGTGCGATGCAGTGCGGTGCGGTGGCTAACATACTTAGTGGAAGTGTTATGCTCTCGTTTGATGGTGCACAAAGGAGCGCCGGTCCCATCTTATCAGTCTAGACACTCCTTGAGAAGAGGGTTGACGATCCGAGACTAGGAGCTGGCTGGTTTTCGCAACATCTTACGCTGGCTGCGACGACCACCGTCTCCGTGAACGAGAGGGGTGTTTTAGGTTCCAAAACATATTTTCTTGCCATGGACATGAGTGAAGTGGTCCTGCAAGTGGTGGTGTGTTGCTGATTTGACTTCCTGATTCGTTATCACTTGAGAGATGTGAATTTTACTTGCATGTAGCATAACTCTCTGTAATATATTAATTTTCTTACGTTTATCTAAAGTTGTGAGTCTCTCTTGTTTTGGCGAAGCAAATTGCATTGGGGTTCGTGATTTTCCAAGGTGATTTCGCTTCGTCTGGTTACCAGTTTTCCCGAAACCCCCTCTCGTATCCTCCTCCTGTCACCATTTCACTTTGGAGTCGCGTCAATGTTCCATTCCGAGGTTTATCTAATCGCTCTCGATATACCATTTACACGTGCTGAAGATTGTTGGCTCAGTGCTAGCTTACGTGGCGCGATGCCTTTGGCTGGGGAACAACGGGGTGCGGGGAAGCGCGGGAAGCCGGGAGAGAAATTTGAGCGCGTGGGGTGGTCCGCTGCAATGGCGCAGTCCTCCCTCATTGCGCACTCTATTTCCGCCGATGCCTCCGCGAACTCCGCGCTCGTGGGTCGTGTCCATCCCGCGCATTCCGCAAACAGCTCGCGCGCCCCGCTCGTCACTTCAGCCACCGAGTTTCCCTCGATTACTGACGAAGCTTCGAAAGAAGCTTCGGAAACGGTTCGTTCCTCGGAGTTGGAAACCAACAGCCCCGCTGCCGCCGCGAGACGGCCGAAGAGATTCTCCCTACACTCCGGTATTAGCAGCGACATGCGCGCGTGCTCCTCGGGAGCAGCCGCCGCCAATCTCGCGTCGCGAGCGCCTGCCGTCGCGTCGCCAGGCGCGGGCCCCGCGGGGGGGGCGGCGTGCAGGGAGGCCGTGACGAGTGAGCTTCTGCGAAGGTTCCGGTGGGCGGACAGGGAGGTGGTGGAAGGGGTGCTGGCGGCGGTGGGGGGGGAACGCGCGGCCGCGGAAGCAATACTGGCGGATATGGGGGGCGAGCGGGCGATGGGGGAAATGGGTGAAAGGGTAGCGGGAGAGGGTGTGGGGGACGAAGCGGATATGAGGGTGGGAGAGATGGAGGAGGAGGAAGGCGGGAAGCAGAGGGAGGCTGATGGTCATGATGACGTGGATGGTAACTGTGATGACGTGGAGGGTGACTGTGATGACGTGGATGTATTCCGGACGTTCCGAGCAGAGGCTTTAGCAGCATCAAGGTGAGAAGGGGACAAGAGCAGCAGAGAGGAGGCGATAGCAGGCCTCACATCCTCGTTTCCTCTCCATCGTCTCTCTCCCTTTCTGCGGTCTGTCCTTTCCTCTCCTCTCCTCTCATCGCCCATCCAATCGAATTTCACCCCTCATTGCTCATCTCCCTCCCCCCCTCATCTCATCCCCTCTCCTTTTTTTCCTTTCAGGGCACACGCACGGCTCGCGGGGCAAGCTGCCCGGGCATACGACAGGGGCGACCACGCAGCTGCCCGAAAACTTTCCCACGCGTCAAGAGAGGAGAAGGAGCGGGCAGAGAGGCTCCACACAGAAGCTGCCGGGAAGATTCTGGAGCACAGGAACAGGGGGCGGTCCTTATGGGAGCTGGATCTGCACGGGCTTCTACCGGGGGAGGCTGTATCTGCGCTGGAGGGGAGGTTGAGGCAGCTGGAGGGGCAGGCGGGCGTTAGTGTGCAGGAGAATGGTGCAGCAAGGGAGGCGAATGCAGACGAGCGAGTGTGGGGCAGCAGCGGTGTGGTTCTCCCAGCTAAGGTGTTGTCGTCAGCTCGGCCTGAACTGATGGTCATCACTGGTGAGTGGCCACAATAGTGGTGCTTGGATGTTGAATGCCGTGGTTGCTGTGCAACTGCAACTGCCTGATTACATGCTGGGCTTTATACCTGGGCTGATGCTTGTAACGGCATGCGCGTGCTGGGCGCTTGGACGGATGAAGGGCTCGCTTCAAATGCGACAGGCTTCTCCATACTGATGTGTGCTTTCTGGTGCCCAACAACTGTATGGTGCTTGCAGGTGTGGGGCGTCACAGCAGTGGGGGACAGCCGAATCTACCAATGGCTGTGAAAAGATTTCTCCATGATGCAAGGTACCCAGCTTGTTTATTGACATTCTGCATACTTAACGAGGTACATGCTTACAGCTTTCGTGTGAACACTGGCCTTAGATTTTGTTAGTGTTTGCTGTGATTTTTGTTCCCATTCAGGTATTCTTACAGGGATGCAAGAGCTGGTGTGATCAGGGTGAGGCCCAGGCTTACCATGCTCAAGTGAAATATGATTTTCAGATGTATTTTATTTATATAATTTTTCACACACCCCCTATGATGCATGTGTTTCTGAACATGTTTGGAGGGGGCTGTTCATAACGTACTTCTGAAATGCTCCATGTAATGTATTGTTACGTGTGCAATTGAGTGAGCGAGCGAGAATTGCACTATCGAAGCAAAAGTACAATGAGCGAAGGCATGAGCGAAGAATATATAGCGAAACTACAGTGGTAACGGTAATGCGTGGAAAATGGGGTGCGCGACGGGCCTGGCGCCGAGGTTGGAAATTGTCGAGGCGGAGGTCCGGAGCGCGGGTTACCAACCGAACCGTGAGGTTGGGTCGCGTCGTGAACAGTGGCGGGAACAGTGTCGAGGCGAGTGTCGCGAGTGGTAACGGATTGCTGTTTGGCGGGAATAGTAATGTACGCGCTGAGCAGGGACGCGAAGTAAGGAAAAGGAATTTTCCTTACACTACCCCCCTCCCCAAGGAGGCCTCTCTTACGAGAGCGCGTGTACATCTCGGAAGTTTCGGCTTCGCAGGTACTCAGTGAGGACAGGGTGGTTCTCAATTCCATCCAGGGGGACCCAATTGTCTTCGGTGGGCGTGCGGTCCTTCCAGCGGATTAGGAATTCGATTCGGCGGGCTCCCCGTGGGTCACGTACTCGATGGCTCAGTATTTTCTCGGGCGTGATGACTGGCTCAGTCGGTGGTCGTGTCATGCTGGCGGGGCGGTTGCGAGGCAGTTGGCTGGTGGATGGCACGTATGGGCGGAGCAAGCTGACGTGGAATGACGGGCTGACGTACCAGTCAGCAGGGAGGAGGAGGTGGGCGGTGACGGGTGTGATTATGTGGCTGATGCGAAATGGCCCGCAATATCGGGGGCGGAGTTTCGGGGTGATGGGCAGGCGGAGGTTTTGAGTGTCGAGTAAGACCAGGTCGTCGGGTTGGTAAGTGACGGGGCGGCGGTGTCGGTCGGCGTTGCGCTTAGCGATGATGTTTGATTTTTTTATTGCTTCTGCTGCTCGGGTCCGTGCTGCTTGTAAAATTTCTGCGAACTGTTGTGCGCGTGGGACTGGGTTGTCGGGATTTGGGGTCATGGGTACTGTGGGGTCTTGTCCGTAGTTTAGGTAAAATGGTGACTGTTGGGTCGTGGCAGATGGCGAGTTGTTGTATGCGAATTCGATGAGTGGCAGTTGCTGTTCCCACGTGTTGGGATCGTCGCACGTGGCCCGGATGAGCTGTTCCATGGTCTGATTTGTCCGTTCCGTCTGTCCGTCGGTTTCGGGGTGGTATGATGAACTAAACTGTAGTCGCGTGCCGAACTGCTGCCACAGATTCCGCCAGAAGTTGCTGGTGAATTTCGTGTCTCTGTCGCTGATGATCGATGCTGGTATCCCGTGCAGTCGAACGACGGTAGAGATGAAGAGGCGGGCTGTTTCCTCGGCTGTGATTGACTTTTTGCAGGCTGCGAAGTGCGCCATTTTCGTTAGTCGATCGACGACGACCAGGATCGCGTCATTCCCACTCGCTCCGGCCGGTAACCCTGTGACGAAGTCCATCGTCACCTGCTGCCAAGCACGCTCTGGGGGTGGTATCGGCTGCAACTGTCCTGCCGGCCGCTTCCGTGATGACTTCATGATCTGGCAGGTGGGACACGATGCCACGTGTCGTTGAACGTCGGTCAACATCTCGGGCCAGTAATAATACCGTTGCAGCTGCTGCCGTGTTTTTTCTACTCCGAAATGCCCCGAGGTAACTCCGTCGTGTGCCTCCTGTAACAGTAATTCCCGTAGCAGTGTGTACCCTGGTACCCAGATGCGGTCGGTCCCGGCTTTTACGTAATAGACTCCCTTGGCTGCTGCGAACTGCTGTGAAGAATGGGTCCGTTTGATACCCGTGGGTGAATAGTCCTGTCAGTAGTGGGCTGGTCTGGGCGAGTAGTATCGCGTGGATTTGGGCAGTGGGGCGGGTCAGTGCGTCAGCGATGTTGGATGCTCCTTTTTTGTAGGTGACCGTGTAGTGGAAGTTTGACTCGAGGAAATCGAGCCAACGGATTTGTCGTGGGTTAAGGTGGGGTTGTGCGCGGAGGTACTGTAGGGATCGGTGGTCTGTCCGTACTGTCACGTCTGCGCCGGTCAAGTAACAGCGCCATACTTTGAACGCGTGCACGATCGCAAGCATTTCGCGGTCGTGTATCGGGTAATTTTTCTCGGGCGGATGCAGTTTTCATGACTCGTATGCGATGGGCTGTAGGCCGTTGCCGAAATCCTGTAGCAGTACGGCCCCGATGGCGATGTCACTTGCGTCGGTAACTACTTCGAATGGGCGGTGTGGGTCGGCGATGTGCAGGACGGGCGGTGAACAGAGAACATCTTTCAGGGCAGAGAAGGCAGCATGCTCTTTCTCCCCCCACGTAAAAGCGACCCCCTTCCGTAGCAGATCCGTCAGTGGGGCTGTTAAGCGAGCCATGTCGGGGACGAACCGACGGACGTAATTAACAAACCCCAAAAACTCTGCAGCTCCGTGATATTCGTCGGGGGGTGCCAGGCTTTGACAGTGTCCAGCTTTTTCGGGTCAATCTCAACCCCAGCCTCCGAAATAACGTGCCCCAAAAACTCTAGCCTGTCCTGAAAAAACTCGCACTTAGAACCTTTGGTCAATAACCGATGCTTATCTAAAATCTGAAAAACTGCTTCGAGATCCGCTAAGTGCTGCGGCCTGTCACAACTGTAAACAAGGATGTCGTCGAGGTAAACTATCACGCTTTATCTAAAAGTGGCCTAAACGCCTCGTTCATGGTCATCTGAAATGTCGCTGGTGCGTTGGTCAGCCCGAAAGGCATCACTGTGTACTCGAATGACCCGTATCTAGTCCTGAAAGCTGTTTTGGCGCAGTCCGATGGTTCGACCCGAATCTGATGGTATCCTCCCCGTAAATCTATTTTCGAAAACACCCGTGCTGTTCGCAGTTGGTCGATCAGTTCGTCGGCGCGGGGAATGGGGTACCGCGACTTGACTGTTACCCTGTTGAGCGCTCGGTAATCGATGCACATGCGAAACCCTCCATCTTTTTTCGGTGTGAACAGTATCGGTGCAGCGAATGGTGACGAACTCGGCCGGATAAACTGCTTCTCTAACAAATAATCTAACTGCTTCCTCAGTTCGTCGAGCTCGGGCTGTGTCAGTCTGAACTGGCGCTGTACAGTTGGCTGTGCCCCCGGTTCTAACTCTATCCTATGGTCGTGCGCCCGCTGAGGTGGCAGCCCCTCCGGTAAGTCGTCGGGAAAAATCCCCGGGTACCGTTTCAACAGCTCCTGTAGTTCGGGTGGTACTGCGGCTAACAGTTTCTGAAAATCGTTCGGCTGATCTGCTTCTCCTACTACTGCAATGTCCACTGTGTACACGTCAGCTCCAGCGGCGACTGCCCGTTTCATTGTGATGGCGTTGACGTGGACCGTTGAAGGCTCGGACGACTGCCAGCGAGGTAGCGCGACCCAGTTACCGCTATTTCGCACAGTGCAGCTACCCGTCGTCCAGTCGATTCGCGGGTTATATCGTCACAGCCAATCACGTCCTAGTAAAATGTCGTGCCCATCCAGTGTCGTCGCGAGCATTTCCTGTGTAAACCCGAAGTTCCCCACGCAGCGAACTTTTACTCTTTCCACCTTCTCCCGTATGGCCAGCGGCGTGCCGTCAACTGAGTGTGCGTCGATCTCTGGTAAGCACCGGCTAAGAGTCAGTTGCAGTTTCCTTGCGGTTGCGGTATTAACTAAACTGTGGCTTGCTCCTTCGTCGATAAATATCTTCACTGCTGCTCCCTGTATTTTCCCGTGGATCAGTACTGGGCAATCCGTCGCTGTACCCCCCTTATTCGTCCGAGCCCGATCGATGGCGTGAATCGGTACTGTGACTCGGTGAGGGTCGGTGTGGTTGGGCGAGCAGGCAGTCTCGTCAGTAGTTGGCCCGACTCCTACTGACTGCTGGCGTTTCCCTGCCTCTGAGACTCCCTCCCCTGCTCTGCTCCGCGGCGCCTCAGCTCCTCTGGGCATTCGCTCTTGCGATGGCCCGGCCTGTTGCAAGCAAAGCAGCGCCCCTTAAACGGTGCGGCAGCTGCATTCGTCGCAACAGCGTTTACAGTGGCGTGCTCGATCGGTCCCCGAGGACGATGTCCGTAATAGGACCCCGGTCTCGGACGGCGCAAAATGTCGATTTTCTCGGCGAGCGCGAGAATCTCGTTGAAGTTCGAGAGTCCGCGCAGCATGATTTCGTGCGAGATATCCGGCTTCAGCCCTCCAACGTAACGGTCCACCCGCTCCGCTTCGTGCATGTAGCCGACCTGCTCGCAAAGTGCGAGAAAACCGCTCGTGTAATCTTGAACCGACCCGAGCTGCCGCCAAGTGCGCAATCTCTGACGCGCCGAAATAGAAGCCGCGATCGGCTCGAAGCGCGCCCGAAGCCCTGCGCACCACGCATCCCACGTGATATATTGGGCGGTTTCGCAGAATGAACTCCAGGTGACAGCTGGACCCGTGGGCCCTTCCTCTTGCGACGGTGGCTCGTAGGCGCGTGGCGACGTCACAATGACTCGCCAATAGTCCATGGCGGAGCCCCTTAGCAGCGAAACGGCATACCGAATCTTCGCTGCGTCCGACTCGACGTAATTCGCGTCGAAGAAGACGTTCATCGTGAAGACCCACGATTGAACCGTCGGACCTCCACGCTGGCTCGGGTCGAAGCAGGGCGGGCGTTGCGGCTTGAGTGGCATTGGTGCCATGATGGCCTGTTCGCCACTTGTCGCCGCGAACTCCACGTGCCGACGGGCTTCGCGAGGCTCCCGCGGGCTTGGCGCGACCCTGTTTCCTCCCATGCCAGGCATTGGTTGGGCGGCGCTATCACTGGCTGCTCCTGAGCGCTGTCCCACGCTGTCATGTTGTGTTGGTGTGCCGGACGAGATGACGATCGGCTCGTCCGATTGTGCAGGTGCATTTTGTGATGCTGGAGCGT